CTAATCTGTAAAACAAGACAGAAAAACACAGCATCCGTAAAGTGCACTAAGATGAAGCAAGCCTGCGAGTAACCAATGGGAGGCGAGCATCCCACACCCAGCCGCTGCGAAGAGTCTCTCCAGCTCCACGTGGCCTTCCCACACCTCCGCGGCTGCTGTCAACCTTTGCGGGAGGAAACCGCTCAGCTTGCTTTCAAGAAGCTGGTGGATTCAAACCACCAACCTTCTGCTTTACCGTCCACCATGTTATACACTACGGCACCAGCGCCCTTTTATTGAACCACCGTGCCTCTCTCTGTCTCCTGCCCCGAGAAACACAGCCCAGTCCTCCTCCTCCTTCACTGCAGAACAGAAGCTCAGTTCCTAACCGGCTGCTTCAAATCTACGTGGGGGCGGGGCACACATAACAGGAGAAAAACACATGCTTTGAATTGGCAAACGGACAGTGGAGATTTTGGACTCTCCCCAGGTGCGTGCACACTGTAAATGCAGGTTCAGATGAAAAGGGCATTCGGTGCAGCATTATTAAATTTAAATTCTCTTTAAAAAGGAGCCTGCTGTGAGAGTGTTAAGACGATGTTTAAAGATGTGAGGCAATTCTCGGCCCAGCTCTCCCGTCAATTATGCAGACTGTTCTCTCTCCAAACAGCTGCAAGGCTTGGTGATCTTGGGGCCACCGCGTCCCGTCTCTGCCCGGCTCTGAGTCCGTCCCTTCTCTCTATACAAGGGCAGAAGCGGAAGTACCAGGAGACCAGCAGGGGACACAGCACCTAGTGGGGGGACACAGCACCCAGTGGGGGGACACAGCACCCAGCGGGGGGACACAGCACACAGCGGGGGGGGGGACACAGCACCCAGTGGAGGAGACACAGCACCCAGTGGAGGGATACAGCACCCACTGGGGGAGACACAGCACCCAATGGAGGGACACAGCATCCAGCAGGGGGTGGGGGGGACACAGCACCCATCAAGGAACATAACACCCAGAGAGTGGGGGCAGCACCCAGCGAGTGGACATAGCACCCAGCAGGGGACACTGCACCCAGGAAGGGGAACACAGTACCCAGGAAGAGGACACAGCACCTGGGGGGTGGGGACAGCACCCAGCAAGAGGGGGACAGCACCCAGCAAGAGGGGGACAGCACCCAGTGAGGGCATACAGCACCCAGCAAGGGGACACAGCACCCAGGAAGGTGACACAGCACCCAGGATGGTGACATAGCACCCAGGAAGGGGACACAGCACCCAGGAAGGAGAGCACAGAATTCATACAGGGGACACAACACCCAGGAAGACACAGTCTCCACTGAGGGGACACAGCACCCCTCAAGGGGACTTTGATGATGGGGGTGCACTGTGGTTGCCTCAGAAGCCAAACACCTGGATTAAAGATATTTTTTTTTCAATTATGAATCAGCTTTTTGATCATCTGAGTGTTTTCAAGGCAGAAGCAGACAGAAGACCCTCCCCTCTGGGTTAAGGCCGGTGAAAGAAACCAAGCTGGAGGATCCCTCCCTTTCTCTCTCCTGAACTTCCCTTCGAGGTCCTAACGCAGGAGGATCAGCAGTAATACGGCTGGAGCCCTGTGCACCATTTGTGTGGTTCCGATTCAATTCAAATCTGATTGCTTCATTTAAAGGCTTCAGAATGACAGCCATCATTTTGGGACTCTTAGAATCTAAGGTGGCTGAGATTTCAAAATTGCTTTATTTGAAAGTGCTCATATTCTGAAATATATTCACATACACATCCAGAAGAGGGGCCATCTGGTGGCCTAGTGGTAAGAACCTAAGCTGCAAACTCAAATGTACCTGGTTCAAACCCACCAGCTTCTCCATGGAAGAAGGATGGCAAACTTCCCCTGTACAAGATTTACTGCCCTGAACGCCTGCTGGAGGCTCAGCTGCGGATCGGTTCCGACTAGATGGCACACGATGACAAGAATCTGAGGGGGAGGACAAACAGTCACACACTCGATGACTACCTGACAGGCAGGCCGTCGGATTCACCCAAAGGCACCTCAGAGGCAAGTCTGGCCATTGAGTCAGAATCCACTCAGAGACGCAGTGCTGTCTGTTTTAGAAATGGATTTGGATTGCAGTATAGGAGAAGAATACTGACTATCCACCGGCTGCCAAGAGAACAAACAAACCTGAAATCTGTCTTTGAGGAAATGAAATGAGGAAATTGCACCTTTTAGAGAAACAGCCTCACAGGCTCTGCCGGTGAAACTGCGTCTCACACACTGTGGACATGTTGTCAGGTGACAGCAGTCCTTGGAAAAGGACATCATGCTTGGAAAAGCAGAGGGCCAGCAAAAGAGAAGACAACTCTGGACGAGATGGATTAGACAGACTGCCACGGTGATGGGCACAGTGGGCTTGACAGTGATGGAGACTGAGGATGGCGCAGGATAGGGCAGCTTCAATCTGCTGTCCACAGGGTCAGTAGGAGGGACAGCCAATCCAACAGCATCTAACATAACAACACTCTTGGCATCAGCAGTCAGGAAATCAAGAAAATGGCATTAGGAAAATCTGCTGTGAGGGACCTCTCCAGAGTGCTAAAAAGAGCAACGGTGTCAGTATACAGACTAAGGTGCACCTGCCCCAGGCCATGGTCTTCACAATCACTCGCTGTGCGTCAAGAGAGCTGGACAATGACCAAAAATGACAGAAGAAGAATCAATGCTTTTGAGGTTGAGTATTGAACATGAGAACAAACTGTCCTGGAGAGAGTGAAATCACAGTGTTCATTGGAGTCTAGAATTTTGAAGCTCTGTCTTACATATTTCGGGCATGCTGCCAGGAGGGACCAGTCCTTGGAGAAGGACATGATTCTTGGAAGGTTAGAGTGACAGTGCAGGAGAGGAAGACCCCAGATGAGATGGACAGACACAGTATCTGAGGTAATGAGGGTAAGTGTGTCAGAAAAGATTGGCCCAGGAGAGTTCAGAGCTATTGTGCATAAGGTTGCAATGAGTCATGGTGGAGTCAATGGCATGTAACAATAACAACAGGGAGCACTAGTGGCCTAGTGGCAAGAAACCCTGCTGTAATCTTGAAGGCACGTGGTTTGAGTCCACCAGTTGCTCCATGAGAGAAAGATGAGTAACCTCCTGTGCAATTAACGGCCTCTGAAAACCCACCAGAGGGTCTGTTATGGGTCGGTTCCGGCTGGATGGTACATAACAACCAGAACAGTAACAACAGGGAGTTCTGGTTAGTGGTAAACAGTCCAATGGCCAACCCAAGGTCATGTGGTTCAAAGCCACAAACTGCTCCGCAGGAGAAAGAAGGACAATCTCCTCCTGTGTGATTTACAGCCTCTGAAAACCCGCTGGAGGGTCAGCTATGGGTCACTTCTAAGTCAATGGTTGTTGTTGTTGTTGTTGTTGTTAAGTACCGTTGAGTCGCAGGTGACTCATAACTACCCTATGAATGAAAGTCCTGGACGCCTCCTGTACAACTTTCGTCCTTTCTCCAGGTTCATAAGGTTTCCGGAGCAAGCTATTTTAGAAGTGGATGCTGCTCCTGCTTCCAAGCTTGCTTTAATCAGGGAGCTCCATCAAACACTGTCCACCATGGCTAACCATTCTCGCATTTGACTCATCAGTGTCACAGTGTTCAGCTTCACAGCGACCATGAGTTACCTCTGTACAGCAAGTGGACACACCAGGGTTACACGACCTAGAAGAATGTTTCACCAAAAACATGTAAAGGCAGGCCTGAGGGCCACGGAGTAGAGTCACCCACCTTTGGCTTGATGGTACACAACAATATACACCTACACACACACATACGCACAAACACACACACACACAGGCTCTTATATGTATACAGTTGAGTCTGTATGTTTATACGTACACATGTATAACATGTATACATAAAGGTTTAAATATAATATATGCAAGTATAACAGCTAAACATAAACCACTTACACTACCTACGGACCTGTGTGTGTGTGTGTGTGTGTGTTTGGATGTGTGTACACACAATGGGAGCAGCTATAACAAGCTCAACCATGACCGCAGTTGTGAAGGTAGCAAAGGGTGTTGTGTCCTGTTGTGCATAAGGTTGTTTTGAGTTGGAATTAATTTAATGGCACCTACAACTACTTCTGTACGTATATATACACTCATTACAAAGATACTATATGTACACACTGTCGTACACAAGGTTAGTAGGAGTCAATTTTAACAGCATCTAACAGTAAAACACTCTTGGCATCAGCAATCAGGAAATCAACAGACGAATGGCATTAGGAAAATCTGCTGTGAGGGACCTCTCCAGAGAGCTAAAAAGAGCAACGATGTCAGTCTAGGGACTAAGGTGTACCTGGCCCAGGCCATGGTCTTCTCAATCAAAGAAAACCAAAAGATGGTTAACACTGATCTCTTCAGTGAGGAAAACTGGGGAACTTGGCGAGCAGACAGCTTTTCCTTTTTT